ATGATAATTAGAGAGCTCAAAAACTTGTATCAAATCCTGTATTCCATAACAGAACATAACATATAAATATAAAGTATAATTTCATTAGAGAAACTATTGATATAAATGAGATAAAATTAAATTACATTCCTACTAATGAAATGATAGCTGTGGACTTCCAGAGACAGAAACAGTAGAGGTGAAATTTCACTTGACAGTATTGAGGTACGTGTAGGTACCAGGCGGAAGAGTCAAAGACGAGATAGACTACATGATTTGAGTGAATATCTATCTGTACTACAGCAGTTTAATATCGGAAGTATCTAACTGTGAAATGGAGTCACTATTGAAGAAAATACTAACGCTTAGAGAAGTTATGTTATAAATCCTGCTTTTCCAACCAGAGAAATTATACAGTCAAACGAAGCAAAGTAACAAAACGTTTTAGAAATAAAACTTGTACGAATAAAGTTGGACTGTTGGAATCAATAGCAAGTTTGTGACCAAGAAAAGGAAAGTTAGGCTCTAAAATACCTACTGAAAAAGCTGGACAGAAGAAAAATAGCAGCTAAAGAGACCTGTGCAACAAAAGAAGCAAGGAGACAAGGGAAGACCTGAGAGATATCAAACATGTAAGAAGGATGTAACGTGAGATTGATTATTCGTGTTAATTTACTATTTGAAAACAACACATACGTTAGCGTGTTAGCATGGTATTTATAATATGGATGAATGAGTAGTTTCCTACTCATTCATAAAAATAAGCATTCAAAATAATGATGTTTTATCGATATTCTGTCAACCAATCCAATACTGATGGAGCTATTTTTGTTTATAAAGTTTCTTAGTCATTTAAAGTAAATGGGATTATGTTGGTATATTGATTATTGTTGATAGTACTGAGGGTTATAGTGCCTATTACCCTTTATCAGGAGAATGATTGGGTCAAATTATGGAACATTCCACTCTATCGCTGGCTTCATCAGGAAGCACTTCTCTAGTCGAGTTGAAAAATGCTCAACTTCCCTTTTGGTCCCATAAGTTTTCACTTTACTCTCCGAGCCAATTGAACTTACGTGGCTCAGAATTCATTAATTTCGAGAGCTTTTGGAAACATTCACAAACTTTTGTGTGATTTAGTGGGATGTGGTGTGCACCTTCCTATTTTTTCTTGTGTTCCGTTGCGTTTGGTATCCCAATTGTTCTGATTTTTCTGGATGTCTGCATACCATTTCAGTTCTATATTAGGCATTTTTCCTCATTAATTCCAGAACAGAGTAGTTATCTGTTGCGTGTTCCATAGCGTATTTTCCCTATACCTCAAAGCATTTTGCTGATAACTGGCTGCTGCATTTTCCTGTTCCACTTCATGTTCTTCGTTGCTGTTCCGACAATCAAATAAAAAAATAAAAAAACACTTTATACATATTAGTAGGTAATTAATGTAATTCTATTTTCGATTATGAGAAGAAGTAGGCAGGAATAGGTTATTCTTGTTTTTTGTAAATAAAATGTAAAAATTGTAGAATGTTTTTTTCATTCTTGTTTCATTGGTATTTGTAATGATCCAGTAGATTCTCAATATGGGGAATCATAATATTGGTATACATCCTCAGCCCCAGGGTTTTTTCATGTGGGCAATCATCAACTTCAATATATCAGCATCAGCAACCAAAAATCCAACGTGTATGGTATAAAAATGCACAATGTTATATTCGAATATATTTAGCATTCAAAGACTACAAGAAAGCATTTGATTTAGTCGAAGCATGAAAACAATATACATACCCAAGAATCAATATACTAGATTTCCGAAAAAAATATAAAGCACATATACATACGATAACGCTACCCTATGGATTATAAGATCGATGAAGATGGATTGATGAACAAGATTAAAATAGAAAAGTGAGATACAATATCCCCCAGCTCATCACCATACAGCCTTGGAAGACCAACTCCTCCCGACTTCTTTTTCAAAGTTTCAGAAGTAACAGTCCTAGGAATTCGGTAAAATAGGAAAAAATCATTCAGCTATTCTTAAATCCACAAGATGTGAAGTGCGGAAAGATTCATATTTTGTCACTGTGGTTGGTTCATCGGTTCACTTTGTTCCAAAAATTCTGTAGGTATACCTGACGTGGGCGACACTTCATCTCCAAGCCAGTCGTACTTAGATGTCCTTCAATGGAAACTAGATTACTTCACCCTATCATTTTGTTCTGATTTCATGAAAGAAAAAGATTATACTGATAATGTCTAAAAGCTTCATTATTCTTCTAATGTCTACCTATTGCTTGATCAAACTAGAATGAGATATTGTGTTAGTAGAACACTTCGAGTGGTTTGGATTTGAGATGCTTAGGCAGGCAAAAGTGTCTTAGTTCAAATAAGATGGATGGATATTCTATCACTTCTGAGATTGCTCGTTTATTCAGTGGTTTTCATATCGGACAAAAAGCAGATGTTAATCGTGATGATTCCTAACTCACCCTCCTTGGTTTGGAAAATAAATACAGCTAGCTTCGAGATACAGCTACCTCCTAAACAGCTTTTTCAGTACGGCCTGGTAACTTTTGTTGGGAACTGTAAAGTTGTGGTTATTTGTGACGGCAATGGTATTGCTACGATCCCCATGACGCGCCTACGGCCATACAGGAAATATTTTGACGAAATAGTTACATAAAAATTACTACCCCGAAACCTATACCCCTTCGTTGCACTTACGTTCAGACTCCGTGGCGGGGTGTAGCAATGGAGTCACCGCTACTCTAAGATTTGTTTGCGCAATAGCATTTGCCATTATTATTCAGCCGCCTAAACAATAATGGAAATTAGGTAAATTTTCATGTTTGAGTAGATATTATCGCTTGATACACATAACTTTGCTGATTCACTATTCACGAGCTCCGAGTACAAAGACAATCAAAATATTTAAAAAAATTCGTCGTTGCGGCAACTACACTTTAAAGTCATTAGTAGAATATTTCTTATAGATATTTCAAACTATCTTTTCGCGATAACTGCAGTACAATCTCAAAGTTCCCGAAGCAACGATAAAGTTCCCATTATCACTATGAAAGTTCCAATTGGAACTTTAACCTTTAATTAATAAGTGCATTCTTGAACAAATTATCTACATATGTAATAAATTGCCGATTGCCGACAACGGGTATCGATATTTTCGTCTCTATGAAGTGACCGTTATTTTAAAGCTATTTTACATATTAACAACAGTCCCGTTCTAGAAACTTCTAAAGCTACCTAAGAGTATTAAAACTATCAAGTGCCAAATTCTACTAATAATAACTACATAATTACCAAAAAAGTCCAAATAAAAGTAGGGAAATCTAGAAAGGTGTTTTTTAGTAATAGCCACGTAACAACGACTTATTCGAAGTTCCAATTTCGGTTTTACGATATTCGAATTTCAACTAAAGTGGAGTAATAATAATGGTGATAAACTAAAACTAAATAACCCATCTTGTTTTGAGCAGAAATGATATTACATATATCATATATCACCCCCTTCATTTTCAATGGTCAATTGTAAGTAATAGAGCTCTATCCTGGACAAGAGTAGATTGGTCAAGTTCATTTCACGAAGGTTTGTAGTACTTTTGACATCAATAATGTTATAACTTGGAAAAAAAGGTTTGTCGATGTTGATTCATTCATATAAATTCAATACAGTTCAGATTTTATATTGTATTGAATGACTTCTGGTTTAAAAACCGACGATCGTTTTTGACGTCATTAATTTGTTTCAGTCAATTTTTATTTGTTAACGAAAGAAGGCAAAAGTACAAACCCTCGTGAAACAAACACTAAGTACCTACTTAACTAATGTTCATTAAATATTGATCAATTACAAACAATCCACTGTATCATTACATATTTGTAATCATTTACATTAACAATTATTGTAATTATTATTGTGGCAAATCTTACATGGGTTCTCGAGATTTGACTGATTTTTTTCATCAGCTCAGCTTCATCCATGAGAAGGACCTAATTATTGTCTATTGTTATTTATTCCTAAACTCATAACATCATGAATAGAATATTTTCTTTAGAAACAGTTTCCGCTAAATTTGTGCAACAATACAACAACAGCTTTATCCGAATGTTATTTTAAAGTATTAAATCTACCAGAAAAAAATATAAAAATCTGGTCAAGCCACCCAGAAACCCATGTACATTATATACCCCCTGTTTATAACACCTTATGAAAACATCCCATTATATATGTATCTATTAACAATAAGGATACAAACCACCAAGCACAGAAGGGCAAACAAAGGGCTTTTTTAAGGTACTAATCCTCGTAGCTGTTTACCGGGAGGCTTAAGGATAACCCCCCTAATGTTAAATGGGCGTGTTATTTTTATAGCCTCAACCATGTATTTTTTATTGTTGAAAGGGATTGCGCTTTTTTTTTAATACTGGATCATAAAAAATAATATAGGCTTATAGTTTTTTTAGGTGCGATGGGCGTGCATAAAAAGCAAGTTTTTTTTGGGATAAAGCCAGGGTGTTATGATGGGAATTTTCTAGATTTGGGGGATAGAAAAACAATATATTATTAATCGAGTAACCCAAAAACCCATTAACAAACTACCACTTGATACATAAATCAATTCATCGGGTAATGAAACATCCATGCATTCGCTCACTCAGCCAGTCGGTTTATTATTCAAACTGGCACGAAATTCTCTGGATGATGGGAAGGGTGGAGGCAATTTCAATTCCACAACAATATGTCAGAAACTTTGCAGTCATTTGTGGAAATTATCGACTGAAATTGGAGTTTCGAACTGCCAAACTCGGACCCGAAATCAGAAAGCTAATTAAGTTACCATAAACCCATCCATATGGACGGAAATTGATTGCCTTTAAAGCAGAATGAATGTTTCGTATGATAAATAAAAGACAATTATTATTACTCAAATCTTCTGCTGTCCATTTCTGATATAAATAATTGAGACTTTATACGTAGGTAAATAAAATAAGCTTCTTACCATTGCATCTATTATTATTTCTTTGTCCATCCCTCTTTTCGTCTCCTAATATTGCACTAACACTAAATTTCAATACCGGCTTACTATCCTTGATCAAGTTCTCACTATTTAGTCTACACTGCAAAAAGTTACAGTCTAACCGTCCACAATTGGAACATATTCGATTCCGTATACAGTTAAACCGACTAAAAAAATCATTATTATTCGGCGACAGTCTTTCTTCTACATGATCGCTAAGCTCGTCCTCTTGTTTCGGAGAATTAGGGCTGTAACTGTTACGTTTATACTCTGAGTCTGTCAAGTCTTCAGCACGGTTCGAATCACATTCCAAGTCCAGTTCGGGTGAGATTTTACCGTTGGACAGAAGGTTGTCCATGGAGAATGGATTTTGGTTGTTGTTGAGGCTTTTTAGCATCTTGGTGCGGTGCGTGACGAATTGGAGAGTGTTCTGGAACATCTAGAATCAGTAAAAAAAGGTTATTGACACTTTAAGTCTAGAATTATGGAGCAATGTTTTTAAAATTTACAAAAGTAGTAGTTTTACTCTGCAAAAAAAGTCTTGATCTTTTTAAAAAAGGTTTTGCTTTGATCCATAATCAATCGTAATATTTGATTTATAGTTAGAAGAACAAATAATGGTGGATTGCACAGTTCGTTTTAGAACGTCTTAAGTCATTCTTAAGTTATTCTGAAAGTTAAGCAAGGAAAATTCGGTTGCACCATTCAGAAAACTCACCTAAGATGGGTTTAGGAATTCCTAATTTTAAGGCACCACTGTTAGGACCTTAACACGTTCTTAGGTAGAAATAATTGTTTTTTTTTTTGTCAAATGCAAATGTCAATTATTTGTCGTAGTGATTTCATAAAAATTATATTTATCGAGATATTTAAACATACATTATTCAACATTTCTGGGGAAAATAGCAGGTGATAGCGTGTTAAAGTCTTGACTAATTTTGTTCCAAGCCTGTTTCTTTTGATCGCAAGTAATACTGTCAGTTTTTCATTTTCAATTATTAATTTTTGGGCAGAAACCAAATCAATCAGAATTTCTTTTTCCCGAACTGTGAAATTGGGTGCTCGACCCTTCTTCTCATTTTGGTTTGCCATGTTATGTTGTAACCACCTCTACACTCTGTAAAAGTTAAATGCGTTTAATATGGGTATCATTCAAGCTCTACATACAAATGTTACCTTTATGTTATACCTTAAACTTTCGGCTTTCGGCAAGAAATCATAAACATTTTTCATCTTTATCTCTCACACGAATAACAACTATAACGTATATTCTGTATTTAAATCGAAATGCGTACATCCTGCGGGGTTGCCAGCTAGTTCGGAATTCAAACTAACCTTAGCTAAGTTTTCTTTACGTAGGGTTCGTGCAAGTCAACGCAAACTTAAATTTTAAGATCATGCTTAGCTAAGTACGTGCTAAGAATGAGGAGTAATTTTTTTTGTGCAATCCACCATAAGTGCCTAATGTAAGTTCGTTTCCAATGAGTTAATATGCTCGGGAATATAGTTAAAAGGTCTGTTCACACAGAAATCACAAACCAGTCAGAGCGAATTTCACTGGTTGGAAATAGTCAGGAAACTTGTAACATAACGCAATAACATGGGCTACGTTCACCAGAACCAAAACGGATTGTAAACAGTTTACAAATACCAACAGAATATGTTGGGTGAACTCTTGGTTCTGCTGAACGATTCAATTTTTCAATGATAGAATATCACCCTCTGAATGACAGGTCACCACACAAAACACAGTGTTGAAAATTATAAACACTCTCAAATTATGCTTGCAAAAATGGTGACCGTTTGCAAAACATGTTTGGTGTCAACATGAATTCAACGTAGCGTTCAGCAGAACAATCGCAAACCGTTTACCAACGTTTGTATCTGGTGAACGTGGCCATGGTCATCTGCAGGTGTCCAGAATGATTATGACGTGTGTCATACAACATGACAAAAATATGTAATTACGTTACCCTTTTGAGAAATAAAGATTTATTCCATTGAACGTATAAAGTGAACATCTATTAAATAAAACATGGTGTCAGCATTGTGAAAAAGGCGGTAAGAAAATAAAAGTTTTGGAAAAAAGTTTGAGCTAGAATAAAAGCTTCTGTTGAAAAAGGTTGGAAAAGAAATTACACCACCCAGATGGCAGCAATTTTTAAAGCACCAAAAAGCATAGCTTTTGATCAGCATGTAGCTCAAAGTTTTGAGAAATTTTTGAGTTCTTTTAAAATTTATATGAAAGCAGCTGGATTTGATAAAAAAGATGATGAAACAAGAATCGCGATGTTCCTCAACCTAGCAGGGGAGGAAGCTCAGGATGTATTTAATACATTTAAATTGAGTGATGTTGAAAGTAAGAATTATGAAACTGTAATAAAAACATTTGAGTCGTACTGCAAGCCCCTAAGAAACGAAATAAATGATAGGTTCAAGTTTTTCACCAGAAATCAGCAAGAAGGTGAGGAGTTTGATCACTTTTTAACCGAAATTAAAATATTGGCCAAAAACTGCAAATTTGGCGACCTGCATGACTCACTGATAAGGGACAAGCTAATAAGTGCAATATTGGACATCGCATTGCAGGAGAGGTTATTGCGAAAAGAAAACTTAACACTTGAATTAGCAGAGACTCAGTGTAGGATGTCAGAAGCAAGTAAACACCAAATGAAAGGCTTAAGAAATACTGAACAAGTAGACAGTATGAGGTTTAACAAAGGTAATGGTAGTTCTATACAAGAAAAGGAATATAATTGCTTTAAATGCAATACAAAACATGGACCAAAAAGTTGCAAAGCGTATGGTAAGACATGCTCAAAATGTGGCAAAATGAACCATTTTGTTGTTGGTTGTAAAATCAAAGATAGCAAGTTAGGTAAGAACTTTAGATAAGAATTTTACAAAGAAAAAGCGTAGATATGTATATGAGGTTGAAAGTAGCAGCGAAAGTAGTTCTGAGAAGAGTGAAGCTTCATTTGGTCCATATATAGATTCAATAGTGTTAGATAATATAAATTATAGGCAAAATAAGGAAATTTGGACATCAGACTTGATAATTAATAATGAATTTGTTACTTTCAAGCTTGATACAGGTGCAAATTGCAATTGCATGCCTGCAAAAACTTAAAGAAAATTAAAACTTGAGAATAAAATTATCCAAAATAATTTGTCGCTGAATACCTTATGGTGACAATAAAATAAAAGCTATTGGCTATGTTATCTTGAGATGTTCAATTAAAAATAAGAAACAGAACAGGAAAAAGATGACATGGAAATGCCAAATGCGATTATGGTAAAACGTCGTCAAGAATCGAGTGTTTCTCAACGCCTGGCGGAGAACCAAGGCAATGTATGCATACTCAGAATAACAGCAATCAGAAATGTTTGAAGATGTCTCAATCATAAACAAATTCACCACCGGCAGTCATAATAGGGTTCTAAGAGATAAAATCAAACTGAGGTCGAGTTATAGTGGAAAAAGTTATCCGATGAAGGGGTGAAGCTTGTCTGCCATCAATTTGGTGAGCGCCGAGAAGATTGTTGAAGCTAATTGAAAAGCATGGAAAAAAAATCAGAAGTAGATGATGAAACGAACTACAGATAAATTTCAGAAGCAGGCAAGAAAGTAGCAAAGAAGAAAAACAAAAAAGATGATATATGCTAATCTCCAACACAAGGAAACTGATAAGGCCAAAAAGAAATCTAAGCGATGGGAAACAAAATATACGATGGAATATATAGGGATCAATAAAATAATATGCACAATTCTCAAAAAAAAACATGTGCAGCGCCGTCCACGTGGTAGAAGTGAAACTTCTTAAAAACTATCCCCCTCCTCATACATCTTGTAAATTTAGCGTATGAGTCGGGGTAAAGATGAAGGACCACACAAAATGGAGACGCGCAATACGCATCTGTAGTGACGACACAAGGGTATCGACGCTTGTCAATAATAGGCAATCCTCCTTGCACTTATAATCCTTGGTTTGTGTGAATCAATAGCTGTCTTTCCCCGTCTCTTCCCGTTATATATCTTTCTTTTCTCCCGAGTAACGAAATTTGCCCGTGACGCGTTTTTCAGATCAGTCTTTAAGGCCGAAACCCACTTGCAACACGCCACGCCATGCTACGCTACCCCACGCCATGTGACATAGGTGACAGGACGCATCTAAACATTCCGGTACAGGATTCGGCACCTAGGCATATTTCATTGGTCCGTTTGAATTCGGACCGCCAATTGAAGCGGAGTGCCGAAATCGGTACTTGAATGTTGAACGGTGCTGAGCCTCAGGTCAGAATGGTATAATACTATGTGGAGTGCCGAATCTAAGGTCAAAATGTTAAACAGTGCTGAGTATCAGGTCCGAATGTTGCCATGCGTTTGGCGCGGTTTTTATATTAAATCAGCTGTCCGCCTCCTTCGTGTTCAGGCTCAGCACCATTCAACATTCAAGTACGGATTTCGGCACTCCGCATTAATTGGCGGTCCGAATTCAAACGGACCAATGAAATATGCCTAGGTGCCGAATCCTATACCGGAATGTTTAGATGCTGACGGGACGTGTTATGGCGTGGTATCGCGTGTAGCAAGTGTGTACGCGGCACATGTAAATGAATGGAAGAATATGCGCATACATTTTCGTCACATGGCGTCGCGTGGTATAGAATGGCGTGGCGTGTTGCTAGGGGGTTTCCGCCTTTATTGTCGTCCAAATATCAAACCGTCGCCTGGAAGTTTCACTTAAAAAAAAGTATTTAACAACGAAGCAATGCTAGAAAGATTCTCACAAAAAGAAAAAGTTCGTTAGATGGACAAGAACAAAATCGCTGCAGCTGTGGAAAGTTTCTATCGGGACGTGACCTATTCAGTTCACAGCAAGAAGAAATGTCGCTGCTGATAAATACCAGATGTTGAAGAATTTCATATCGCAAAGTCCATTAACGATCTGAACAACGACCGAGAAATCATCAGGATAGAACGAAGTTACAGGGGAAATGCTGGAAGAAGGAGTTGACGCTATCTTATGGCGTTTCCGATTGGTAGATCTAGTGCGGAACTAGTGCAATTTTTTCTATTTCTGCCTTTTTCTTCTACAGGTTAATTAAAAGGATGCAAATACACTCAGTGCGCACTGAATCTACCAATCGGAAACGCCATTATTAACAATGAGGAGATTATTCAACCTGTTTCGAAAGAATTGCGGAAAAACTAGATCAATTGAATAATAGCCTCGAAGCTCTGCTCTTCAGAAAAAATAATCGGACAATCGCACTGTTATCAGACACTACCATCCTATTTGGTTATTATCTCAAATATACAAGGGGTTCCTAACCGCTTTTCACCTGAAATGGACAGCTAAAGTCCGACAATAGTTATTTGTGTACCAAGGCCTCACCTGAAATTTGCTTGGCCTCGGCTGCGCCTCGGCCGCAAATTTCTGATTCGGCCAAAAAAGATCATTCGGCCGAGGTGCACACAAAATTTTTTAGGCGAGTGTTTGTTCTTGAAAAAAGAATAAAATTCAACAGTAGCTTTAAACTTTATTGATCAAATAAATAATCCAGCAAAGATAGGTAGATACACAATTATTAATAACAAAAACTACGATAAAGAGAGTGTGATTATAGAAAAAAAAAAATGTATTTTCACCAAAGTAGCGGCCGTAAAGTAAAAGCGGCCGTGAAGTAAAAGCGGTCGTGAAGTAAAAGCGGCCGTAAAGTAATAAAGCAAATGCGGCCGTGAAGTGAATGCGGCCGTAGAGTAAATGCGGCCAAAAAAGATATACTTTAGGGATGATA